TTATCATGTATGATGCACAAGATGTTAGTAAATTACCGTTCCATCCTGATCGTTACTCCATTATCGAAAATAAAATAATCGCTGGTAGACTAAGAGCTATGAAGGAGGGACGATTAATAAAGGAACGGGAACCATTCTCCGTGCGATTGAAATATTTTTGGGACGTAACACAGAGCAAAAATCTGTTGGGCGAGAAATTCGCTAAACAGCTTTCTCACGAACCAGATGGCTTAATATTTCAACCTGCCAAGGAAAAGTATTGCTCGGGAGTGTGCATCGAGGTCTTAAAATGGAAACCATTGTCGTTAAACTCCGTAGATTTTAAACTGAAAATCGTCACGGAATCGGGCATGGGAATTCTGCCACGAAAGATTGGTCATCTTTTTGTAGGAGGACTGAATACGCCATACGGCACAATAAAGATTACCAAACATATGAGAGATTTGGACAACGCGATTGTCGAGTGCAAATTTGAAAATGGTCAATGGGTCTTCATGCGTCAGCGAATAGACAAGTCGTTTCCTAATTCCATTAAAACTGCCGAGTCTGTGTGCAAAAGCATCAACAAACCTGTTACGAAGGAACGGCTTTTAGACTATATCGAGAAATACAGATTTGCACGAGATGATTCAGAACTTATGCCACCACCAAACAAAAAACCTAATTTATCTTAGATAGATGATATCATGTTACTATCATTAATTGTAAATGTATCAAGATTTTTATATCTCTGCAATGTCGAAGAATGAAGACTTAAAATGATCTATATTTATTTAATTAGAATGCGGGGAGTTTATCATAGAGATTTAAATTAATTTTAGCTACTTTCAATCAATTTGATTTTTAGGAATGTTAAATAAGTTGAAGATAACGAAGTGCATGATATGGTTTTTGTCTAGAGAAGAAAACAAAATGCATGTAAGATCAACGAAATATTTACGATAATTCTTAATTAATTTTGTGATAAATATACCATTCTTGATCAAGATTATCTTTTCATCAGGTTATTTCAATTTGTTTCAACGCACATTTGTATCACATATATTTTGAATTAAGACTATTCATTGTTGAATAAAAAGGTTTTGTAGTAATATTCACGATTTATTAATTATTTATCCCGTATCACTTAATTAATATTCGTAATTAATAGAGTTGTAAAAGATCAATTGTATTTCTTTGATTTTTGTCAATTCGTTCAAGATTAATATTACAATTATTAATATTCTACTATTTTATATATTTTTATTCTATATGTAATAACATTATTTTCTGGAATAAAGAATATAACTGAGAAAAAAAGATAATTTCTCATAAAAAATAAGAATAAAATCAAATTTGTTTATGAACTTTGTTTCTTTGAGAAAATCGAAAAATATCGGCAGTTCGGCAGTAAAGATAATGTAATTAAGAATTCTTTTATATTGACTCAAATTCATCCTACTTATTTCCATATTTTGCATTATTGCAGATCGTACTGTGTTGTTGTGGTACACGAAAGACTTCACATCGAAAGATCGCAAATCTCTGCGTATTAACATAGAATTTGATCACGCAACTTTGATACGCTGGTCCCCGGATGGAAAAGCATTTATTATTCACAAGGCCGTGGCTAACGCCATCGAGGTATACAAGATCGCGAAGAAATCGGATGGTCATTTGGCCTCTGCGACTAAGGCTCTGGAGTTTCCACAGGTATTACGATCTTGTTTCTATGTTATTTGTTAAAGATATTTCTTTGTTTTGTCTACATTTTTCTTAGAGATCTTTTTAAAATGCTATAATAACAGAATATTATTGTTAAAATAAGACTCTGTAATAATAATTCAAAGTTAGAAAAAAGCCTAGAGAACCAACGCAGTTATTCGTATGTGAATTGTTTTGTTTATTTATAATAATTAATATATACATTAGAATAATCTGTAAAGTTTCATAGATTTTTATAGACTTTCTAACTTTTGATGAATATAATTAGTGCATATATTTTATTTATGCTCGATCTTTTAAGATTATTCACATAGTCATACTTATGAAATTTACTATTTTGTGGAATTCGTTTATGCTTTATGTATCAATTTTTTTTATTACTATAGCATCATACTGAGGATGTCGTTGGAATGGATATCGCGTGCACTGGGAAGTACATCATCACGTGCAGTAAAGTGAACGATCTTATTATTTGGGACTTGAAAGGACAGACGCTGGCAACGGTGGAGATGCATTTAGGATCTACTTATCGTGCGCGCATATCACCTTGCGGCCGATTCGTTGCTACCTCGGGTAAAAAAGCATTTTGCCGTAAATAAATATAATTAGTTCCAGCTATTGTAAAATAAGATAAAGTCTTAAAGACGTACTTCTTGTGATTTTGGATATGTGCTATCTAGACATTTTTTAAAATTTTGGATCAAAGTTACATTTTATAGCATGAGAAAAATATACAAATATTTTAATAAGATCAATCTATTCGTAAGGTTTTACACCGGACGTGAACGTATGGGAGGTGGTCTTCAGTAAATCCGGAGAGTTCAAGACGGTGGCTAAAGCGTTTGACCTCGCTGGGCATTCATCCGGAGTTTACGACTTCGGTTTCAGCGCCGACACCAGTCACATGGCTACCGTGTCCAAGGATGGGACGTATCGTTTCTACAATACAAAAAGTAATGTAACAAATCCCTGATAAATGAAGGATTTAAGCGTGAAATGTACGAAATTCTTACGCGTTTGTTCTTTTACAGTCGAATTCGAAAAAGGAGAAGATCCACACGTTTTGATGACTGGCTCCTGGAACACCACTGCACCAGCAAGCCTTGCCTTATCTCCGAACGCGGAGGTCCTCGTGATCGCCCATGGATCATCTATATCTTTCTACTCCACTATTACCGGTGTTCTGGATACTACCATAGAAGATATTTTCCTTGGTAAAATTATAATTCAATTGTGTTGTGTTGTTTGTTTGCGTCGTGTTGCCTTTATAGAAATCTAATTTAATATTGTAAGGTAATGATTAATTATTTCTGTACTAAAAGCACCGTTTTAAATTTCTATGGGGATGGTTTTAGCAATGTGGGTTTGAAAGAACTTGACGAATTCTTCGATATCTTTTACAGGGCCCATAACATGCTTAGTATTTGATGCTATGGGAGAATATCTGTTGGCTGCGGGCGATAAGCACATCAAAATTTTCCGTAACGTCACAGGATATCGAACCGCAATAGAGTCTGCTAAACGTAAACTGGAGCAGAGGCAGACGCAGGCAACAAAGGAACGTTTGGAAAAAATGATTCGCGATAACAAGGAATTGCTTGAGAAGATGGGCGAGAAATGTTCAGAATGACATTAATTCTCCTTCTTATCGTTTTACGAGATTGAAGATATAAATAAAGTTATTATCTCGGAGTCTAATGCTTTCTAAATCATGTAAATACATGAATTTACCTATTTTCTGCAAATAAAGATAATTTTCGTATGCATCAATCTCTAAAGTTTCATTCTTGAATGTCATCTACAGTGAATTCATACGCGCCGCGCGCATATATGTATCTAAAGTTAAACAAAATTTAAAGATTAAATGTTATTGACATTGGGAATAATGTGTAGATGACATTAGGAATAACTGTTCTTTTAACTTAATCCTATTCTCAATTTTTTTAGTTCATAAAACAGTTTTGAAAAATTCAAAAACTTCAAATTCACGTACAAATATAATAAAATTTAAGTAAATACGATAAAATTGTATTCTTTCTTTCAAAAAGATTCCGTGCGTAAATTTTAATACATTTCCTCAGATATTACGAAAAAATTATGTGACAAATTAGAAAACTCAGTTTTTTTTCTATTTACTTTAAATTTCATTGTATAATATTGAATTCAACTGGAAAGTAATATCTACGTTAAATTTCAATAGACCGAATAAAAATAAAATTAGTTTGTATTCAAGAGTGAATCAATATGCATTATAAATTACACACGTCATTGTTTAAACAATTTTTATTGTTACGTTATATTCTTGACTACTATGTGCCCAAGGAGATAATTACAATTTTCTTTTTAAGAAGATTTGTATAATGTTAACATACACAGATTCAGAATTGTTCGCGCATTTTATTTTATAATCTCATATAGTGCTACCTTTTACTCCCTTTTTTTGACAAGAATGTGGCCTTCTATTAACAAACTACAAAAAATTTCTATATAGTACATAAACTATGTACAAAATAGTATCCTTGGCATCGTGAGTTGTAAACTGCAAAATTGGGAGTGGAACGCGCGATCACGCATGATCGCTTACGCTCGAGAACACGTTTTTGTGTAGTATATAATTTTTGGGTAAATGTGTTTGACACTCTGCTGGACGTACAATGAGTAACTTAAAATACATTATATATATGTATTTATCATATTTAAACTAGCTTAGGCTATGAAAAGAAACGCTCATTGATTTGAATTGTTTCGAAACTGTACACATTTTCTCATCTAGAACGAAAAGAAATTATTTTTATTGCTACACAATAACAAACAATTCATTACTCTAGAAATTATAGAAAAATTATTTTTTTTTGTTACTTTTGAACAATTCTGATAATTTGCCACATAAACGCATTCGAAAAGAATTTTTTTAAATACTTTGTGCTGTGCTAATTATATTATAAACATCGACTAGCAGCGCACGAGATAAGAGAGAATTCCGCAAAATTCAATAAAAACGCAATAATACAGACATTTCTGAAATCAAATATTGATGTAACTTTATCATTTTTTAGTATTACATTTATTGCATTAAATGTTTATTGCGTTAAATAATGTATGTTAGAGCAATTAAAATTATCAATCTATCTTCATTAAGAAACATATATTGTTTAAAAAATAATGAATGATAACAAAAATGTATTTTAATATTATAATATTATATTAATTATAACTTAAGTTAAAAGACACAAAAAGGTTCCAAACATACTCTTATAAATAAGTTTTATTTTAGAAGTGATTTCATGTTTGCTTAAAATGAACAAGCAGTGAAATAATAATAGAATCGCAATCTTTTTCATGTTTGTGTACTATTATTTCCAGTAAAAATCTTTTTATTTGAGTTAAATAACTGTGATGTTGACATACTTTTGAATCTATAATGATAAATATCGGGTGTATCAATATCTGGCACTTAATGGCAGATCAATGGTACTTTATAAGCCCTTTTTAAAATTTATCCATTTATTTTAAATGATGCAAAAAATTTCGTAAGATATTTTAACGATCTATGAATTGTTATGCATGATTGAAATGCTTCTCTTTTTTTTTATTACTGAAGATGCCACAATATATCATCACTCGAGTGAAAAAAGTTACAAAATCGAGTCCCGATCACTTAGTTTTGGTGTTGGATAAACCACTTGATACTTGCATGCACACACGTACGTGTGAAATAAGATTAATTTTTTTTTATTCGTGTTGGGGTGCGTATGTTGTCTATATTATGATAAATAGCTAATGTAATTATTTCTTCTCCTTATCTGCCTCGACAATTTCTCTCTTGACAGAAGTTTTATTGTCAGATTTTTTATCTTTGTCTACATCGATGGGTTCCTTTTTCACTTGAACTTTGTTATCTCCCCACCTGGTATCAGTTTTAAATTTACTTTCCATCTCAGAGCCGTTTATCTCTCCGCTAACTTTTTCATCTTGAATTTCTACTATCTCTACTTTTCTCTCACTCTGCAACGCTTTGGTCGCTACATGGTACATATTCTTTATCGCAGTCAAGTAAGTATGGCAATCCGTCTGTAAGAAATGTAAGATGTTTTTACGTTTAATTACGTTTTACAAATTAAACAAATAACAGAAAAAGTTTACTCACAGAAGTTTTCTTGAGCTTTTCATCCGAGTTCCGTAATTTATCTTTGTACATTTTCAAGTCTTCGGAAAGACCCTTAATACTATTAGTTTGTTTTATCGATTTCTCGTTGACTACAGTTAGTTCGTGCTGTAATTCCATCATACGATCCTCGGTATCTAAACGTGCCTTCTCAGATCTTTTCAACTGACTAACAAGTTTTTCTACATCCAATAAAGAGCCTTTGTACGTAACGATACCTTCCGGAATCGTTTCTTCGTTAGCTTTTTCTAAGATACAATCTTCTCTTCGCGCTCTTTTTGAGGGCGGCCCGCTACCCACAAATACAGGTAATAATTTTTTATTTCCTACAAACATATAGCAATGATTAAACTCAATTGTATGTTGTATGTGATGTTTTATATTAAGAAAATATATGAGACGAAATGCATTACCGAGAGCAAGCGAACGCAATATATCCTCCTCGTTCTCTCCTTTAGCCGATTCACCTTTGTCGCTTTCTTTATCATCTTTCTTCTCATCCTTTAAGTCATCTTCCTTCGATTTGTCTGTTAATTTTCGATAATGCAGAGAATCTCTTGTAACGACTTTTTGTACTAATTTCCGTACTTGAGCTCTTGACAAATTCAATCCGAGAGTATAAATAAGTTCTTCAATATCCTTATCAAATATATATCCACAATGCGTCTGATCGAAATATACAAAAGAGAGTAAAAGGTAAGGATCATGTGTATATAATTTTGTTTTCCTTTTCTTTCCGTCTTTATCCCTGTCTCTCCTACCGTCTTTTACAGAATCATCATCCTATATAAGTAATAACAACGTTTATATTAACACAATGTACTTAACTATATCATGCATAATAAACGCTCTTCATTTGCAAAATAATATTTTTCGTTAATAAAAGAAAATATTTTAATATGAAATATAGACCGTAAAATGTAAAAAATAAAGTCTCTTTCTTACATCTGATTCATCATCTTCATCTTCTTCTTCATCGTCATTTTTCTCCTTTTCTCTGTCTTTGTCATCTACTTTACATTTTGCATCTTTGTCATCTTTTTTGTCCTTGGCTTCTTCTCTTTTCTTATCATCTCGTTTTTCATCCTTCTTACTAGATTTCTTCTCATCTTCCTTCCTCTTATCATCTTTCTTATCATCTCTCTTATCATCTTTCTTATCTTTCTTCTTATCTTCATCCTTTTCCTTAGTTTTTTCAGGGAGACTGGATAACGAACGATATATGCGAAAACCAAAATCTCGCATTAACATTTCGTTGAACAGTTCCGCAAACAGAGATACTTCAAAAGAATGTTCCTACATATTCAAAAGATTTATGTAACAAATTATCTTTTTTTGAAATAAGTGAAATTTCCAAAGTATAAATTACCTTGGTATCTTCTGGTCTGTAATCCAATAACACACTCAAAGACATAACTGTACAGTCAAATTTTCCACTCTTGGCCATTCTAGAGGGATGAACAATAATGTGTGATGAATCGGGCAAGGTATATCTCTTTTCGAGTACAGTACGTTCACGTTCATAAAGTTTTCTCTTATCTTCATCATGCTAAAAATAATGTAAATAAATAGATATTAAAAACCTGAAATATATA